TTGAGGAGGGAAAGATTAAAAAAAAGATGAAAAAAATCATTTTTTTTTTTTTTTTTTTTTTTTTTTTTTTTTGCAACAAAATAGCTCACACCTGCTAAAATATTATTCAGTGAATATTATGTATTTTTTTTAATTATACTGCTATACATCTATAATAAACTTGTCATCTAAAAACATTCATTCATTATTTTGACTTTTATTCGTAGACGCACATAATGGAGAATAACAGAATACTGGTATGAGGGTTAGACGTCACTTTGTACTTTTTGTACTGATTTACCAGTCAGTTTCTATCAAATGAATGTATTGGCGGGGGAAAAAAAACCCATAATAACTTCTCATTTCTGCACACTTTGTGAGATGATTCCAAGTCTGTCAGCTTAAACATTAAGTAATGAATACGATTTTGTTTGTTTTTGGTAATTGTCAGATATATGTTTGATTTAAGGCTCGAGGGAAATCCAGAATTAGACACTCGGTGAATTAATGGCTGTTTTGAAGTAAATGTTTCTCTGGTTATGATGGGGAAAAAAGAAATATAGTGCAAGTCTTAACGGCGGCACATTTCCTCTCCGATCCAATGTGATCCACTGATAATGTTGGCAGCGCGGCTCCTAGTTAACAGTGCAGAGACGCGACCTGTAGAAGAAGTAACTCTCCTGCTTCATTGCTTTCCTTTGAGCACCACATCCTTTAACAAATGGTGTTTCAGCTGCTCTCTACGGAGCAACACCGAAAGCCGAGAGCAGATCACGTGAGCGGGAGCTACAGGAGCAGCCTCTCCTTCAACGTGAATATCATTACAAAGACATAAAACTTTTTTTTTATTGACAGGCAACACCCAGGTCCCCTGGGGGTTCGGCAGACTTAAAATACAGCAAGCAGCAGCTATCGTGTCGAGCAAAGCCAGTGATGCACCTCATAATAAACGCTTCGCTGTATTTTTCAACTCGATGAGTCAAACAAATTAAAAATGTGTAGAGATGCTAGGAGACTTAATGCTACTGTGGATTCTACATTCGATTTATAAAAGAATGCATAGACTAGCATGTGATTTGGGTAAAATGAATTGGCTCTTTGTATCAATAGCTTATGCATGCCTGTTGGCTTTTCATGTGCATCGTGATAACATCTGCTATAATTAAGTCACGCTTAATATTCCCCATCGTTTGCCTCCTTAGCGCTGTGTGATATGCACCCAATGAGAGCCCTTTTCCTCATTCCACGCAACCCAGCCCCCAGACTCAAATCAAAGAAATGGTGAGTGAGGATTATATATATGTCACCAGAAATTAGTTAGATTTTCAGTTCTGACTTGGATGTGTTGGATTTTTTTAGGTCAAAGAAGTTCCAGTCGTTCATTGAAAGCACTCTGGTGAAGAGCCACAGCCACAGGCCCAGCACAGAGCAGCTCCTCCTGCATCCCTTCATCACCGAGCTTCCCAACGAGAGACACCTCCGCATCCAGCTGAAGGACCACATCGACCGCACGAAGAAGAAGAGGGGAGAGAGGGGTGAGGAACGACTCGCGCAGTAATGTCTAGACGCGTCACCAAAGTAGTTGGGATTCAAATGTTGTAAGAGGCTGGAGGTGGGCGACATTTAAAAGAGAATTATAGCGCTGGCTAGGAATTGATTGCAGACATCAAGAGCATGAATGTTTCATTAATACGGGGCCGTAAATGATGCATTCGAGTCCTCCTTTTTCATTTTTGTGAGTTTTTGAGCAACCGCCGTCAGCGGCGACATTCTGGCTGGACATTTCATCGGTGTTGGTTATTGGTGCGTTTTAGTTGGTTAGCATCCTCCTAATCTATGAGATTAAACTCTCCTCCCCGTGGAGTGATAGATTTTTTTTTTTTACTTTACCAACATGTTTCTTTTCACTGGTGGTAATATTTACATTTTGCATGAACTCAGCCAGAGAGTCCTGATTGGAACCCAGTAGCTAAAGATTAGGATGATGGTTCGGAGACTCTCCAACTACAAAGAAAAATGAAAATACCAGTGGAAACGGGCAGTAAAGCTGGTCGGCATTTAAACAGGCGGTCTGACCGCTGTAGTGCAGTTGCATGTGATGTAGTGTAATTTAAAAAAAATGCTTTCTTAATTTTTGCAGTCTTTCAAGGCAAATCTGTCTCATTTCCAATCAGAAACAAACTTAACAAACGCTTTTCCAATCTAAATCCGTCAGAGGTATGAATAACTTGTTGCCAGAACCGCATTAGTGGCGCATTTTGTTGTGGATTACAGAAAATGTACAGACAATTTCAACTTTTTCCATTCATTTTCTTTCTCATTTTACTGGTGTGTGCATTGTGGACTCATTTAGAGACATACAAGCTCCAGACAGATCAGAGGCGCGGCTCTACCAATGAAACAATCATTGAGTGAATCGCATTCTGTAGCTCAAACAGTCAAACGTGTTTAACTGTTTTTTTTTTTTTTTGCTGATGGTACAGATACAATCTTCATAGGTCACTAGAATTTTAAATGCAACTCATAAATCTGCGTGGATCACTGCAAGAAGTTGTGTTTATATGTGGCAGATTCAACATCAGTTTTTTTTTATCGTTTGTTTTGACGAGGTGACTGCCAGCATGCCGAACACTTTGCCAGAGGGAAACGCATTCCAAGAGCACAATGAGCTTAGACATTCATCAAAAACAACACGAGTTGTTCTTAAGAAGTCCAATTATAGCCTCGCACACAGTCCCATCGCACTTCAGTTGGCAGCAAGAGGTGAAAGTCACAGATATGTGTGTGAAGCTAATCTTACATAAGCTCAACGCAGAGAACAGCCCCACCTTAACCGCCTCGAGGAGCAGCGTTCCACTGGGGGTTTCGTATAAAACCATCCTGCCGCTGTTTCAGTCCGTAAACGTCTCCAGCCGACGCACCGTCGCACCCCGAGAACAGGCACATGTGGATCTGTAGCGAGGAAGAGCTCGGCACTTTTGACGAGCGTTTATGCCTTAAAGCCCCCTTTGGACTGAAGGGGCTCTCCGGCTAATGTTCTCCACCTCGCTGCACCCGTTAAAACTTCAATTTGCGCTCTTATTCAAAGGAGCTCAGTAAAAAAAAAAAAAAAAAAGAAAGACAAGTGCCTCGGAGACAAATGAGAATGTGGGAATGCCGACGCCGGTAATGAGCCGGGGGGATTCAAGTGGAACGTCTACGACACGAAACGAAATGGGTTTCCTCTCTTGCTGTTTATTACATTTTCTCACCTTCTTGTAGTTCAAACCCCTTCAGATTTTCGTGGTTTGGTAATATTATAGCCTCAAACTTTAACTTGTTTTTTTTTTACCAGCACAGAGTAGAGCATCGTTGTGAAATGGAGGGAAATTCATAAATTTTTCTCGTCACTAATCTGTATGTCCCTGAAATGTTTGTTTCTTTTTTGCAAAATATCTCCAGCTCAGTCAGAACTCCACTTTTCAAGTCTCGCTGAAGTTTCTCTATTGAATTCAGTTGGTTTACTTTGGGTAATTTTAACCCTTTCATGCATGAATTGTGATCCTTTGTGCCGGGAGCTTCCAGAGTGGCCGTCGTCTGTTTTGGCTGCATCTCTGATTAATGCACCACTTTAAACCTTTCAAGCATCTCTGACTCGTCTGACTTAATCCATTCACGCTTTTGATGTCTGCAATCAATTTCTACATTAAATTCAGCAATCTTAGTATTTGTACTGAGATACAATTGTGAAGTTATGAATTAGACGACTTCTAAAGACAATTGGTGGATCTTTATTTAGAGGTATCACAGTGCGTGGGGGTGTGGATACAAATGCTTGCCACACTTTCTAGTTTTTTTTACATGTAAAAATTCATTTCCGCTCCTTCGTGCGACGACAGTTCGCAATACAAAATCCAATTTAAATACAAGAATACGTTGTCCTTTCGATCCATTTATACGTTTTAGTTGCAGAGAAGAAGAGCCTGGAAACTCAGCGATCTGCTTCCTGGTCAACCTTTCGAAAGTCTAGAAAAAAAAAAAATCTTCTACTCCACAGTTATTCCCTTCCACGTGTCAACCCTGTTATCTAAAATCCCGCCCCCCCCCAAAAAAAAATCACTGAAAGTGAATACCATGTTCGATTTTTCTCACACACCGCTTTTTCTTTTCTCTCATAAGACGAGACGGAGTACGAGTACAGCGGCAGCGAAGAGGAAGACGAAGAGAGGGACAAAGGCGAACCAAGGTCAGCCTTTTTTCCTCAAATCCACACACTTACAAAACCATCTGCGCGGCCTCACCCCTCCGCACACTCGGGATCTCTTTCCACTGACTCTCAAAACGATGCCGTCTCACCCCCAGCTCCATCATCAACATCCCGGGGGAGTCGACCTTGAGGCGAGACTTCTTGCGCCTCCAGCAGGCCAACAAGGAGCGCTCGGAGGCGCAGCGGCGGCAGCAGCTGGAGCAGAAGCAGAACGACGAGCACAAGCGCTTGCTGCTGGCCGAGCGGCAGAAGCGCATCGAGGAGCAGAAGGAGCAGAGGCGGCGGCTGGAGGAGGTAAGACGGACTGGGACGAGAGGGCGACTCGGTTGCGTTCGTCTGCGGCGAAGGCGCATCACTCCTTTGATCCCTCAAGCTGAAGCGTGCTGGAAATAAACTCCTTTGTTCCTGTCCTGAGTATTGCAAATTAGCCGATTCGGTTGAGGGAAGGAAAAAGAGCAGAAAAATTCACACGCGGGCTTTTTCCCCGCCAGCGTCCCTCCTTTAGTTCCAGAGAGCAGGCTTATGGGAGGATAAGTCCTCAGCCTTTAATCTCTGTGCTCTCTGTGGATTCCTCCCAGGGCACCAGTGTGTGAGAGCCCCTAAAGATCACAACTCCAACTTTAATCTATTGTTGGAGCTTCTGTTAAGGCACGGGGTTCCTTTGGTTTCTGGAAAATGTTAATGATTTTATTTCAATTTTTTTTGCAGCTGCGGATTAGAAGGGAAAAACAAAATGAGTTTCTGTCAAAATGTTGTGTCCTTCCTTCCTGGTGTACTCCGTTCTGTCCTATTTCTGTTCTTTCCTTGCATCCTTTCTTCTTTTCTTAGTGTCTTTACTTTCTATCTTTTTCTCTTTCTTTCTTTCCTTGCTTCCTTGATTCCTTCCTCCCTTTCTGTTTCCGGCTTTTGATATGGAGCCTGCAAACTAGAACTATTTGCTATAAATTCATTGGAAATTTCACCATTACATATTTTTAGATGAAATGTAAAATGCGTCAACAGAAGCTGTATAGAAACTTTGACAGCAGAAGGGTGGGATGTCGTTTTGTAGCTTTTCTTGGCTAGGATTTTGGGATTTTTGTTTAGAAAATATTTTTTTAAAACTCTGTACAGAACCCAAAGTTCTTTATGTGAACCTTCACGTGACTCTGTTCTGCGTCAACAGCAGCAGCAGCGGGAGCGTGAGCTGAGGAAAAGGTTTGAGGAACAGGAGAAGATCCGAAGGGAGGACGAGAGGAGGCAAGCGGCCAGAGAACAGGTTCACATTTTTAATAATGGATTCTTTTCTGACTTCCAGCTTGCTCGATTTTGTGGATTTGAAGGTCTTGTGTTTGCCGTCTTGAGGTTTTGGAAGCAGCAGATACCACGCTTCTACACCAAGAGGCTTCTCTTCTGCTTATATCAGATGTGCAAAATTTTGGAAAAGCACAGATACATATCAAGTAGCAATGCCAAACTCCAGTGTATTAACTTTTGCGACAGATCAACACAAAGTAGTGTATAATTGTGAAGTGTGATGCTTATGTTGAGGAATTGCATATATTTACATCTTTATCTTTTTGGATTGCTTTGCATTTACTTACGTCCAACTCCTTATCACATGTGACTCACATTTCTGCATTAAGAAATAAGAAAATATATTGTCCCACAGCATAATACCACCGTACTTTACAATGGGAATTGGGTGATGCACAAGTTTTTTTTTTTTTTTCACACTCTAGATCACCTGGTTTGTGACAAACAGGACTTATTATAGCTTTATTTTAACTCATCCATAAAGATAAATGGCTTGGTTTAATTTATGGGTTATGCATAATAGGGGACCTAAACACATTTTGTATGTCAGTTATTTTGGGGGGTATTTTTTACAAAAACATAAATAAATTTACAATTTTGCATTACTTTGTGTTGGTCTGTCTCATGGAATCATAATAAAATACATTGAAGTTTGTGGTGATCATGTAAAAAGTTTTGAATGTTTTTTTGCTAGGTACTGCATATGCAGCTCTGGAAAAAATTAACAGATCACTTAAAACGATCAGGTTCTCTGATTTTACTCTCTATAGGTAAATGTTTGAGTAAAATGAACATTGTTCTTTTATTCTATGAAGCACTGACAACGTGTCTCTGAAATTCCAAGAAAAATGTTTGTCTTTATTTGCATAAAATGAGAAATGGCCAAAATAATGAAAAAGATGCAGAGCTTTCAGATCTCAAATAATCCAAAGAAAACAAGTTAATGTTCATTTAGAAACAACAATAATAATGTTTTAACTCAGTTCAGAAATCAATATTTTTGTGGAATAACCAGGAAGTTTCCAATGGGGTTCAGTGCAGAGGACTCTTCACTTTTTCCAGAGCTGCATGTGGCTCTTTTTCCTGTCCTTTCTGTGAAGTGTAACTTCCTTTTTAAATCATTTTCTGTGTATCTTTCTATTTTGTCTTTATTACTTTCCTGCTCTCTTTCATGTCCTTTCTGCTTTGAAACTGTATCTCCCTTTATCTGTTGTCGGCTTTTTTTTTTTTTTTTTGAGCATCGTTATTGCAGGTGTTTGAAGACATCATCGTCTTTACTTGATCCGGACCTGCTCTTATCTCATCTCTCCTCCGAACGCCAACTCAGGAGATTCTCTTTCTCTCTCTCTCTCTCTCTCTCTCTCTCTCTCTTTCCCTGTCCCGGTCCTTCCTGCTCCGTCTGTGTGAGTTTTTTTTTTCTCTCTCTCTCCAGATTTTCAATTTCTGTCTTTCTCTCTGTGCCGACATGCTGCTCAGGAGTATATCCGTAGACAGCTGGAGGAGGAACAGAGACAGTTAGAGATTCTCCAGCAGCAGCTCCTACAAGAACAGGCATTATTGCTGGTAAACTATAGTCCCTCCATTAAGGCTCCTCATCTGTGGCGTGTGATCTCCATCCCCGCTGCATGCACCCAGGGTGACAGCTGAACGCAGCAAACTGACTGTGAGGGAAACCTCACTCTGAGCCCCTGAGCTCATTAGCTTCAAATGTGTGTGAACCAATGTGAATTCTTGCTTTTGGAGTTACTGAAATCAACTGTTGCATGTTTATGTGTGATAAGTTGGTTGGATCTCGACGGATTACCCCAAAGGAAGTACACAGAACGGAATATTCTTGTACAGCACTTGATATCTTTACCTTTAATTGAACTACATGTGCTGTTCTGTATTTTTGAGGAAAAAAGAGGTTCTGAGATCCTACCAGCATGAACTCCACAAGCCAGAACTATGATCCCACAGGGGTGGCCAAGTCCAGTCCTCGAGAGCCACCATCCTGCCAGTTTTAGATGCATCCCTGCTTCAACACACCTGAATCAAATGACTGGCTCGTTATCAGGCCTCTGTAGAGCTGATCCCGGTCTGTTGGAGTAAGGATACTTCTAAAACTTGCAGGATGGTAGCTCTCGAGGACTGGACTTGGCCACCCCTGCACTAGAATCTCAACTTTTATTATGTTTATGCTGTCAGTAGTCGGACTGCTTCCTGTTCCACTGCAAAACTCTCTCTTGTTTGCTTTTCTGGCTTCTTCTATTCATTCTAAATTGTAAAAAAAATGTTTCAGACTGATAAAAATTGTCTTTAATTACCTCAAACACATTGGAAATTTCAGATAAAAAAACTACAATGTTGGTCAGAAGTTGGCGTATGCTCATTATAGGCATGGATGTCAGACATTGGGCTATTAATGCAACATTTGAACCATGTGTGTAATTTTCTGAAAACTACACAGGTTCAAAATGATTCATCAACACATCCTGCTAGATTAGATGTAAATTCTGGGGTCATTTTCTTGGCAGAATATCCAGAAGGTGTGTTTCTTTATCAACCATCTGGCTGCTGATTTGACAGGCAGCTGTTATTTTAGTGTTTCGCGCAGTTTTGGATACCACTGCCAATAAAACAGATGCTTGTCAACCACCTTGCTTGACAACTTGTGCAGTCTTTGATTTCCTCACACCAAGCATGATTCTTCTAATTTTTGGGTAAACAGCTCAATGTGTGCCTCATTTCACTGTTGCTTGAAGGTGCTGATTTTGGACCAGTGGTTTATTTCATGCTTGGCATCGTCTCAATTGCTGATGGCGTTGCGTTTACGTTTAGGGGTAGACGGGTTCCTTTCTTCGATGGTGATTGGGCAAAAGGCAGGGTTCACTCTGCAGAGAGACAAACAACCACGCAAGCAGACTCATACTTAGGGGTCATCTTCAAATAAGCAGTTAGCCGAACAGTCGTGTTTTTGGACTACGGGAGGAAGACGGAGTAGCCAGACAGAACGCACGCACGAGCCGGTTATGCATACTCAATGCCGAGAGACCCCAGGCCGAGTTTGGGACCCAAACATTAAATTAACATGCAGTTCAATGAGATTCATACCAGTGATTAGCATATGTGAACTTCTGACAGCCAGTGTAAATGCGGACGTTGCAAGTAGCCCAGCCTGCTTCATTCTATATTCCTCATTTCCAGACATTTTGTTGTGTTGTGACTCTGTCACCAACCCACCACCTTGTCTTTTAGCCCTTCAGCAACATACCACGTCTTTCATTCGTCCCCGTTTCTTTCTTTCATTAGGAGTACAAGCGTAAGCAGATCATAGAGCAGCGACAGGCGGAACTCCTGCAGATGAAGCTCCAGCAGGAGAGAGCCTACCTGGTGTCTCTGCAACAGCAGCAGCAGCAGCAGCAGCAGGAGGGGAGGCAAGCGGAAAAGAAACCGCTGTACCACTTCAAGGATGCCAGTCATCCTAATGACAAGCCCACCTGGGCTAAGGAGGTAAGCGGAAACCAGGAATGCAGGATTTAGAAAGTGGTTCTTTATGTGTTTATGACATGAAGTAAGATGATGATGATGGTTTATCCCGGAGACTTGTCTAATCATACGTTTCATGTTACAAAATAAATGTTGCCGTGATAAAAAAAAAAAAAAAGAAAAAAAATGCTTGTTGTACTCCTACTGACTGTGCTTTGACTTTGACTTTGACTCCTAGGTCCAGAAGCAGCCAAATGCTCCTGGTAAACCATCTGCACAAGCACTTAAAAATCTGCCCTCTAGGGAAAACAAAGCCCCTCAAAAAGCACAAAGAAGTCAATCGTTCGGAGAACCCAGGGTCTCTGAAAAACCCATTAGAAGAGCCCACAAGAAGATCCCCGAAATATGTGTTTCAGCAGCTGACTGGATACCCCAAGATAAACGGGTCACAAATCAGAACCAGATTAAGAACCAAATTAAGAACAATGCTGGCAATGGGGCCTTCGAGAATCCAAGAGGGAAACTCAAGCAGGCACCCAATGATCGGGCTAATTTTGCAGACTCAAAGGCTTCAGGACTGTCCCAAACTCCACAGCACCCGAAAATATGTATGTCAGTAGCACACAGTGCTGGCAAAGGGCCTTTAGAAAATCAGATGGGGGGAGCCAGGCAACTGCCCAAAGAGACACTTGGATCTGCAGAATCAAATATTAGAGCTCTTGAGCCTCCTACCCAGGCTTTGGGACAGACTCAGACTCCACAGTCTGGAGCCTCTTCTAACTCGTGCCTATCGGTTAGTTCGCGCCCCGTTCGGAGAGTTCACTCACCTTGCCGTAGACTAGATATAGAAGTAGACTCTGAAAGCAGTTCACAGCCTTTCCACCTGACAAATGCATCTGGCATGTCCTCAGGCAATTCGCAGCAGCGCTGGCAGAACGATTTTTCCAACCTGCAACACTTGAAACCACACCAAAATGCCAATTCAAACCCCTTAGCAAGAAATCTGAAGAATGCTGTCAGCCACGAGAATTTGAGAGCACGCTTGGTTTCCCAGGACAGTGAAGAAGTAGATCCCCTTTCGCGTTCTTTCCCTGGACACGGCTTTTTAAATTTTGACAGAAAAAGAAACTCGTACTCCACCGAATTCACCAGTGGCAATCACCTCATTGTCCCTGGGCAGTTTCTCGAGTTAGACAATAATCTGCCTCGTTGTCGCTCCACCGAACAGTTGAAAGTCTCTTCTCCGTTGTCGCCATTTTCTTGGCTAGGCCTCTCTCCTCGCACATCGAAACAAAACTCCCCTTGTCACTCACCTTTCTCCCCGAAATCACGGTCCAGGAGTCCATCTCCTGGAGACGTTATGCACCACAAAACAAATCCCTCGTCTCCTAAGGACACAAGCTTCGGTAAAGCCATTACAAACATTCTAGGTGGAAATCGCTCTCCTAAAAGCACTTCCCCAAAGTTCACCTTTGGGAGTCCCAATTAGGCCCGTCAACTTAGGAAAACTTAGAGCAGGGTACCTTGGAGTACCTTGCTCCAAAATGCATGTCGATTACATCACTCACTCACTCACTCACTCACTCACTCACTCACTCACTCACTCACTCACTCACTCACTCACTCACTCACTCACTCACTCACTCACTCACGTTTTTATTTCTGTTTTACGTGATTAATTTTATGTATTCCTTGACCCTTTAATGTTGCTGTCGTTTCACACCACACGGACGTTTTCTCGATTTAACCTCTCTCGTTTCTTAAAATTCAAATTTCCAAACGCGCTCTCTGAATTCTCTAAGGCTGACCATTCTTCCCAAAGGTAGAAGTCCAAGAGAAATGTGCAGGCAACGTGTAAAATAATGTAAATACGCTGTATATATTTTATATTTAAAAAATAAAGTGCTCTAAACTGGACCTGAGCTTTAGAGGCGAGATGCAGAATTTAAGATGCAGGCTGACATCGACCCGATCTCTAACTAGCTTTTACGCTCTACCCTACTATCCCCCTTTCACCTTCATCCCCCCATCACAAAAGTTCACCACACTGAGCCTCTTCACACACACATTTGGGCACGATGTCATCAGGAACTCCCACCCATCCCAGTATGTTTTTTAGGTCAGTAAAGCACTTAAACTGGTTCCACTTTGGTGACTGGTGCAGGCCAATTGGTGGTGGACTTGCTCTGTAGAACAGAATCGAACAGATCCTTCACAAGCCCATTCTCCGTCCTTTCTTGGTGGTTTCTTATTCGGTTTCAGCAGTGTCCAGAATTAATACCCTTTGTTTTCTTTCGAAGAAGGAAGAAGTTTTTGGGTAAAGAGTTTAGCGGAGTTACTCAAAAGCTTGTTTCTTGTTCTACTAACAGCAATTTCTCGGTTTCTTGTAGGACAGTCAACCTTACACTAACCTCCACTGCTTGTCGTTTTCAAAGACAAGCAGGAACACTGACTTCTTTCCAGTGTCCCTTTTTCCACTGTTGAACGTTGTTTCTTTTATTAGCTTCATAATGACTTGTCACACCAACAGCTACCTGCATTTGCGGCAGCTGTTCCGCCTCGAGAGATGGCAAAGGGCATCTACTTCCTTATAGCCAACTCCCTTAAGCTGGCTTGAGAAATGACACAGCTCGGCATAGTTGCCTTGAAAACTTATTGGTGTAACTTTTTCAAAATTGGTCAGGTTACAATCACAAACCTCGGCGTATTTTTGGGGTGGATTTTATAAAGGCTAAACAAAAACAAATTCTCTCATAACTGTGAAGATGAAAATATAATATGGTTGTATCTTGTTTCGACAAACAAAAATGTGAAAACGGCTGGTATGCACTTGCATATTTTATAAACCTGCAGAACAGCTGCATTTATTCTGAGATCACATCACACACAAGTGGACCATTTCTGAATTTGTTGACTTCTCAACTAACTGCATCAAAAAAGCACCTGGAAACAATTTAAGGAAAAAGTCTAATAACTGTTTTTAATCATTTGTTGTGAATAAAACTGTGTGTGAAATTTCAAAAAGCCTCAGAAAGGGATCGATTTCTCTCCACATGTGTTTTTACCTATAAGGTTTTGAAACTATGCCCCGCCGAGCCATGACTCAGCCTTTAACCTGCTGTAGAGTCGACCGTTTGGAGTAGCCGGGTGTGATTTTGGCAGCTGGGAGCTTTCCCTGGAGACTCTCTTGCAGCGCAGCAGATAATCTGCTAATCTGATTACACTGCTCAGAGGAGCTTTCTGCCTTTTTCACACAGATATGTAGTGTATCTAAATATACTTTCATTTCTTTCTTTTTTTTTTAACATTTTTAGAAACTTAGAGTACTGATAAATGGATTTGCATTTGTGACCCTTGCTCCTCCACAAATTCGAATTCTTTATCATGGTTTGAATACGAAGCTCGCTAAAGGAGAGTGGGGATCACTGTTGACCTTTTCTGTCAGCCACAAGACTCTTTTACTCCTCGGCTCTTATGTGGGGCGAGACGCATGCGGCCTGTGTTTGCTCAGGATGAGAGGCTGAAGCAAAGCCAAGATTGGAAACAATCTGAAGAATTTTCTTATGCAGTCGATTCATTATGGGGATAGATCTTTTTTTTGTTTTTTGTTTTTTTTGTTTGTTTGTTTTGTTTTTTTTTCCATTAAGAATTTAAATTGGATTGGATTTAAATTTTCAATTGAAATATCTAAACATGGTAACAAATTATATGGATATAATTAGCTTTCAATCAAGCCTGACTTCCAGTGAAGTGAGATTTGGTGTGAGGCTGTGGCTAGCTTCTATTAGCTATCCATTGGCTATCAGCCTAGCTTGCGGTTTGATACTGGTAGCTTGGATGCTGTATGTATAAAAGTGGTAGTTAGTGCTCCATTTGGCTTTTTTGCAAGTTGTCACGCTAGTTGTAATTTTAAAATAGTGTTAGCTTAAAAAGAGTGATGGATGGTGCTCTTTTTTTTTTTTTTTTTGGCTTCCACGACACAACTGTAACATAAAGTTTTAACATTTTTCAAACATTTGATCCTGGAAAGTAGACTCATGCCCATTGGAGAGTATATGAAAAATAAAATTAGGTTTGGCAGTTGGCTTTGATTGAGATCCAAACAAGAAGGTGACACATTGGTCACATTCCTGCTGTCAGTTTAGCTCTTGCATAACTTTTAACAAGTGTTTCTGTGGAACTCTGGTTGAGATTAAAATCTGCTCCGATGTTATGACATTAAGGCAGGCACGGCAAGGAAAACAAGTCTTGCAAAGAATCCCCTGGAGGCATAGTGTGCGAGATATGTAATTAACGACCAGAAAAACCAGGCTGAGTTCCCCACCTTCTGGATGCCGTCCCTTTAAAAACCGAAGGATTTTAAGAGCGTCTCGTGGCTTACAGAGGTGGTGCATGGGGAGACGGGTGGGTGACAGACAGCGGTGGGTGAAGCATGGTGATTGATTGTGCTGCGAGTGACTGTGGTATGTGGCCTGTCTCAGGTGGAGGAGCGATCTAAGATGAACAGGCAGAGCTCGCCAGCGCTGCAGCACAAAGTGTCCCACCGCATCTCCGACCCTTCCCTCCCTCCCCGCTCCGAGTCGTTCAGCAGCGGAGGCATGCAGCCCACCCGCATCCCTCCCATCCACCGCTCCATTGAACCACAGGTGTGTGTGACTGTGTGCGTGTGAGCAGAAAGAGTCATATAAATGTTTCATGTGCTCGCGTACAAATTATTACACACCTTGCTGCTCCCTGTTTGCATTATTTCCTTGAAAGCTTTGTGCAACATCTAATTTAGTAATTTGTCTAACGTTTCTGTCTTCTTCTTCTGCCCTCCCCGCCCCCATTTTCTCTTTTTTTTTCCATGCCTCAATTCAATACCATTTCAATCCATTTTCGTACACTTACATTCTGCTGCTATTCTTTCCTTCCATCCACCTCGTTAACCTTCTCCTACTGGCATGTTTTCCGTCGATCGCTCCGTTCATCGACTTCGCCTCAGATGGCCCATCTCATTCCCGCGAAGGCCCACTCCGGCTCCATGTCCGGCTCCCCGTCTCTCCAAGACCAGACGGGCTCGGCTCAGAGCGAGGGGGCTGGCGTGGCGTCGCCGAAGCCCGAGACGCCCCGTCAGAACTCGGACCCCAGCTCTGACACCCCAGAACCCCAGCAGCACACCAGCAGCAGGGAGGAACGAGATCGAGACAGGACCGCTTGGCTGAGGGAAGAGGACATCCCCCCCAGGGTTGGTAATCCTTATTTACTAAAGGCTGAAAATAACTGATTCTTGTTTATAATTTTGCGAAGTACTGATTTATTTGAATTGTGTTTTTTCTTGTTTAACTTATGTTTCACCCCTCCCTTTTTTTTTTTGTTTCTGTACTTAAAAGCAAAGACTGCAGCAGCAGTGATGAAAAGACAGACTATCCTATTCCTGACAACAGATTCACATTCTACCATCTTTCTCGCATTTGTTTTAAACTTAAAGTCTTTTTTGAAATATATTATCAATGGCAATTTGTGAATGAATTGTCATCTCAGAGCCTTGGACTAGACTGCCTGATTCAGCATGACTACGGTGTTTCACACGTGCATAGTAGTTTTTTAAATGCAAAAATGACTAATATTTTAAATGGATCAATTCTGAATATGGCATTTTTCCATCCCTAACCTCTTGGCCCGCCCCGGGTGGCTACCTACATATAGCCTTTATATTAAAATAAAAACTTTTGAATGTTACAGACCAACACAAAGTAGAAATTTTTTTAGGATAAAGATTTAAAGCATGCAAGTATTTGTATTCGGCCTTCTTTTCCTTGGAGTAAATGCAGCTGCCTGCACGCACGCACGCACGCACGCACACACTCATACACACACTGTCCCTAGGGTGAAATGGCAGCTTGCTTGCTGTGAAGATGCTTTTCTTCAGGAGGGAGGCGTGGAAAGCAAGCAGGCATCTTAAATATTGCAGATGTAAAGTGAAAGGATGTTCTGTAATGTATTAACTTTTGATGGTTTAGTTACAAAGGCCTTTTTGCTTTGTACTTGTAATACTTTTTTCTTTTACCATGTTTAAAAATTATACCTTACATCATGTCGATAAAAGTCCCATAAAACATGTGGAGTTTGTGTTTATTTATAATGTGGAAAAAGTGTGAAAACATTCTTCTACAACCTCTGTCCAGTAGAAGAAGCGATATTGTCGCATCTCGTGATGTTTTTTTTTTTTTTTTTGTGTGTGTGTGGTTTTATTTGTCCAGGTTCCCCAGAGGACAACCTCCATCTCTCCAGCCCTTGTTAGAAAGAATTCTCCAAATGGTGGTGTGGGTCTGGGCCCTCGCTCCGGTTCGCAGTTCATACGGGCCAGGTAAAGACCGAAACAGAAAACTGGCTTAGCTACCCCCCCAAAAAAAAATATTTACCGTGTGAAAAGAGCTAATATGTTCCTTCTAATCAGGTAGAAATCAGACAAGGAGACCCACCAAACCTCATTGACTTTATTCGGGGTTTTTTTTAACCTTTTCTCTCTGATGATGTTGAGTTTGAAACAAAGCAATCGTGCGGCTTCCTTCCTTGTTTCCAGTAATCCGGATCTGCGCCGCTCGGAGCTTTCCCTCGATGCCATGCTGCAAAGAACGTCCTCGAACTCGTCATCGTCGTCTTCTCCTTCGTCTCAGGGAGGCTCGTCCGAGAGGAAAGGTATTTAAAAGGAGCAGACATACAAGCACACATCTGCGCTGCACGGCGAGGGTCGCAGAAAATCTGGCGGGGGCGAAAGGCTTCTTGTGAAAACGCAGACGGAAAACAAAACATCCACTTAACTCTCAGAGGCTTTCAGCAGGATGTTGTCGGTTGCGGCTGTGCTCCGATCAGCTTTGTCTGATGTGTCCTGTGTTACTCACGGCCTACGGAGAGATACGGGGCAGGAAATGAGTGAGGGAGATACAGGGGGACGTGTCAAACAGAGGGCCAGAAGGACGGTTTGAACACAGCATGCTCAGATCTCCGTCTGCCACAGAGGCGGTGATAAGACGAAGCACAGATAAGTCGCTGCGTTTTGTAACAACATGCAAGCTTGAAGAACTGTGGGGCAGCTTGGTAAATAAATAAATAAATTAATTCAAAAAAAGAAAACATTTGCAAGAATGAAATCAATGACGAGGTCCTGGTAATCAGAATAGTTAAGCTGATACAGAGCCTTGTGCAGAGCAGTTTCACCTGTTGTAAAATCAAATATGTACCAGGATTTTTAAATTTTTTTTCTGTCTTCTGCTGATCAAAGAAAAACAAAAAATATATATTTTAATTAATTTTGTTATTTAAAGTAGTGTAAGTCCAGTGAACATTTATGGTGCCATGATTTCTTTATTTTGTTTTGTTTGTTCAGACTGTTTGAGTCTCCAAATCAAAAACTGCTGCTTTTGAAATTTAAGAATTGTGTTTGTTCTCTCTGGTAGAATTTTGAGTTTATTATTTTCGGACACCTAAAATAAAAACTAGATAATTTTTTTACTGTTAGTATTTGTAAAATCGAGAAGCTCTCTGTTTTCGAAGGGTCATGTAGCTTTTATGGATTTCAACACATTTTATTCAGCAAGCCGAAGGACAGGAATGACCTCTGGGTTGTAAATGCTGCAAACCTCTGATGTAAACCTACAGCCTGTAAAAGAGAACATTTCTGAAAAAGAGAAGAGGGCAGGAAGTAGCCAAGGAGTAATTGTCCACAGGACATCTTTTAGTTGTGCGTTTCCTAAATCTGGTCTTTATGGAAGAACGGCGAGAGGAAAGCTATTGTTGAAAGAAACCCTCAACAAGTCTAATTCTCAGTTTCTCAAAAAACCATAGAAGATATATTTTTTAATTTTTTTCTCAACAATAGCTTACTTCTAAATTCTTTGCAACAAAACCCTTTAATGTAAGCTGATGTTTAAGCTCGTTTTTTTTGTGGGTTTTATAGGCCAGACCAAGCAGGTCGGAACTCTTCTCGGAGCCAACGAAGAGGTCAAGCCCAAACAGGAGGAAGGCCGGGAATCAGCCAGACCCAGCAGACCTGCAGTGAGTCCAGCAGGAAACAGACCCACACACACACAAAGTCATTTTCCATCTCCTCTCTCGGAAGCTTTTACTCGTCTCCTCCTCCATTTTTTCTACCGTTCACCTGCTCTTCTCTTTCTGTCTGTGCTCCTCTATCTCTTTGCTATTCTTCAGAGCTATAAGAAAGCCATAGATGAGGTTAGTGACAACCGAGTCCCCCTCTCTTCTTTTTTTTTCTTCTTCTTTTAATCCCGGTTATCTTTAGCCGAAATCGTGAGACTTCCTCATCCTCTCCTAGCATGGTGAAGTTAGTTGGTCTCAGGAAGTCAAGCGTTTCTCCCTCCAACTCTGAAAATCCAGGGTGCTTTGGCAATGCCGGTGCGTGTGTGCGTTGACACACACACACACACACACACACACACACACCTAAGAGAGTATATGTGGGCGGGTTCTGGAGCGAGTTGCATACATGCATGACTTGTGTGGATGCATCCAAGGTGGGAAACGGGGGTAAAAGATGAGCTGCCGAGCATCTGATCAACCTCTGAATCTTTCTTTCCTGTTTCTTTGTTGTCGTGGTAACTGGTCAGGAGGAGCTGGTAAGCAGTCCACCTCACCTCTGTTTGCATGATTGGTCCGATCCATCGGCTTGACCCCTCGGGTTGGTTGGCATGTGGATGATGGCCAGAGAGAGAGGGAGAGAGAGGCCGAGAGATGCTGCCCTCTTACGGAGCATCAGCCCTGAAGCCGTTGTGTGTCTCTCTCTTCTTCTTGAGCGAATAAAAGTGCTGATTGTGAAAAGCTCAAGAAGTTGTGTCGAAATTAGTGAGCTAACGTGAAATCGGTCAAATCAGCACTCTTGTTCCACACGTTTGCAGGCCTGGCTGCGTGTGGGTGACGGCACATTTATTGTCCTCCTGCCATGCTGCTGAACCCTCTTATGTGATTTACCCTCTGCCTTTCTTCAAACTTTTTGGTGAATGGTAGAGAAAAAAAAATGACTAAAGGATTTTGTATGCGTCTTCTCTTCTGTTCCTCTGTTAAAGGACTTAAGCGCACTGGCTAAGGAACTTAGAGAACTGAGGGTAGAGGAAGGAAGTCGGCCTCCGGTCAAGGTACGCCGACATTTTACAGAAACCGATAAGTAAAATATATTTGCAAATTTTTTTTTGTTTGTTTTAGCTTGTGATATTCTGTTGACTTTCTGCGGTTTAAAAAGAGGATTAGAGCTAACAGACAGCACAGGATTTTAAGCCATCCTGTTTCTGTTTTAATTACTTAATTGCACTTCCCTAAAATTCTGGTCAAACAAATGTGGTTGACTCATCTGGGGTGCGTATGGACTTTGAATTCACTTTAATTAGCAATCTATGACTTTCAGTTTCTCTCAGGCTTAAAGGTGATGACAGGAAAAAAGACTTTTCTGTCTCCTCAGGACTAAGATCTTACTTTTCAGCTACGCAAACACTTTGGTGGGCTTTCAGCAGTTTAATAGAAAGTGTGTGACAAAAAAAAAATAAAAATGCTTTAATGGTGCTCTAAATACAATCAGCATTCTTCTACAGGTTTACCTTATCCCACTTTTCATGCATTGAGGGCTAAATCCTATAGAAGGATGGGAGAACTGAAGACTAGTGCTTTCTTGACAGCTGAAGGATATTATACAAAGTTCTCACAGCAGGAGTACCAATGTTTGTGGCACTTATAGAATTTTTTTAAGAAATTGGTTCTTAAACTTGTTTTTATTTTATTTTTCTCACTGAATGAATGTCTTAAAATTAAAAACTGGGTTCTCTTAGAATACATCTCTGTGAGATTATGCTACTTCAATAAAAGCATAATTAGCTTTAAGGTCATTTACAAACCATTACAGGGGGTGCCAAAGAGATATAACAATCATTTGAATATATGACTGAACCTGTACACTCATTTGGAAAGATTGCCAAATGAAATGAGAATTAAGGTCGTTCTCTTATTAACCCTTGCACGACAACTGGGCTTGTTTTTGACACTTAAGGAGTCTTCTGTAGAAAGGATGGAGGTTTTAGGGCACTTTAACATCAGATCTGCTTTATGTCTGTCGTAGCGTTCCTATAAATGAGATCGGAGGGTGCTGCTTGCTTGCCTACTTACATTATCGTTCTTCTATCAGAAGCTACATCGGTCACAAACCCGGAGGGAAAGCCCAGTGTCTGCTCTAAGTGATCAGCTTCACTGGTCTAAGCAAAGGAGAAATCGCTTATAGTTCATATCATCTTTGGGAGGAATTCAAAACAGAACAAAGTGTTTTATCTGAGGCTAAATCCAGTCAGTGTAGAAAATAGGAATGTGAAAAAGCACTTGAAGAAAGTAAACGACAAAGAACTATAAAGATACAATAGCCACAGTCCCTGTAGTGTAAGTGTTTAGACTTGCATCCTTTTCCTTCCAAATTTTTTGAAAACAGAACTTTAACTTTAAACAGAACTTTAATACAAACTTCAGGACCAAAATGTATCTCCAAATGAAACCCGTTAAATGATACGGAATTGCTCACCTAAAATATATAATTTTTTATGTAAGATTCTTTGTGTTTTGGTCTAATATCTAATCTAATCTAAAGTACGTCGCTAGGCGACAGGGTTTCTCATTGATTTTAATTCTTGCTGTTGTGATAAAGGTCACAGACTACTCATCCTCCAGCGAAGATTCGGAAAGCAGCGACGAGGACGGGGAGGTGTTGGGGCACGACGGGACCGTTGCCGTTAGCGACATCCCCCGCATCATGTAAGTCGTCTTCTCTGGTTTAATTTGTCTCTCTTTATATATATATATATATATATATAAACAGTTTTTGTTACTATTAAATATTTGCATGCACGGAGTTTGCTCTGTGCCAAGTGGGCGCAGGTTCAGTAGAAATTGTTGGTAAGTGATGGAGTCTGTGTTTGCTCTGCAGGCCGGGAGTCCAGGGCAGCTCTGAGTCGTACGGAGGGCTGGCTGAGGACGCTCTGGGAGACTCCTATGACAGCTCCAGGGACAGTACTCTGATGATGAGAGAGGTGATAAATGTGAAAACGCGCAAAAACACTCATCCTCAGCACTGCACACACACAATATACACAAAGCCCTTGCAGAGTTTTATTTAGATTTTGTTTGTCATAGATCAACACAAATTGGCTCTAAATTTTACATTTTTTTTAATAGTTTTTTTTTTTTAATTTTTTTTATGGTGTACAATCTCAAACACATGCTGCATCATTGTGTCCAAACTCACTGATTCAATATGTTGCAGAACTATATTCAGGTAAAATTTCACACAGTTATAAAGACACTTGGTTGCTCTGGACTGTATTTTTAGGTGCATTGAAATACGGGGTAAAGTGAGAACAAATTCACACAATAATTCTCAAGTTTGTAAGATGGTTTATATGCTGCTGCCCATTTCTCTGCCACATATAAATCAAATAAAAAATTTCTGTGAAAACATTGAAGGAATTTCATACTTTTGAAAAGTAATGGTAGATGTAAAAGTATCTCAGGGTAAAAATGCGTTTGTGTTTATGCCGCGCTCTCAGTTACCGATCTTCTACAATCTGCTCACTTAAGACTCAAACGATCTCCTGCTTGTGTCACTCAGGCTGAGGAAAGGAGGAGAGGCGGCCACTCCGAAAGCAATGGTTTTAGCAACCACAGTAACCATGGCAACCTGCCCGACCTAGTGCAGCAGAGCAACTCTCCCAACTCCACACCCACCACGGCTCTGCAGGAACTGAGCGACATGGCCGAGGTCAGGCTCGAACACGTCGCCACCACCGTGCTCGTGAACACTCAGCCGTGCGTATCGCCGATCAGTGTGGGCCACTGTTGACCAGTCAGGTTTGGTGTCTTTGCAGTTTGGTCTGAGTGGGTCCAAAGCGTCGTTTACTCCCTTTGTGGACCCGCGCGTCTATCAGACCTCCCCGAGCGAAAACGACGAGAGCTCGGCAGCAGGTAGACGAAACGCTTCGGACGTTTGCTTTCGCTGCGGCGACTCCGCGCCGGTCGAAATGTTTGACCCTCACCTCTTGTCCGATCTCCCCGTCCCAGCCATGTTTGCCAACGAGCTGCTGAGGCAGGAGCAGGCGCGACTGAACGAAGCCAGAAAGATCTCCGTCGTCAACGTGAACCCCACGAACATCAGACCTCACAGCGACACGCCAGAGATCCGAAAGTACAAGAAGCGCTTCAACTCGGAGATCCTGTGTGCCGCGCTCTGGGGTGGGGAGGAACACGGTTTATTTTCTCCAATGCATCAACAAATCCCTCCTTATATATATCTTTTTTTTTTTTTATTCAACCCTCTGTCTTTGTGTTCGCTCAGGTGTGAACCTGCTGGTCGGGACGGAAAATGGTTTAATGCTGCTTGACCGAAGTGGGCAGGGCAAAGTCTACAACCTGATTACGAGACGGCGGTTTTTACAGATGGATGTGCTGGAGGGTCTGAATGTCTTAGTCACCATCTCTGGTAAATATTACGTGTTTTATCGTTTCTGTGTTTCTCTGATCGCCTCTTTTCAGAAATTTACATCAGGCGTTTGTTTCTTTGTTTCTCCTCTTCCACAGGGAAAAAGAATAAGCTGCGCGTTTACTATTTGTCCTGGCTGAGGAACAGAATATTACACAACGACCCAGAAGTCGAGAAGAAACAGGGTTGGATCACCGTTGGGGAGCTGGAGGGCTGTGTGCATTATAAAGTTGGTGAGATGCTGTTTTTATTAATACAAATGGCTAGATTTTTTTTTCATTCATTCATTCATTCATTCAACCTATTAACCAGGTAAGCTATTAATTAAGAATGAGTTGATATTTACAATTTGATCAGATTTTTAATCGCTAGTAATGCGTTATTTCTTTAAACATTACGAAATGTGAATCTTAAAAAAATGCGTGTGTTCATTTTTTTTTTTTCTCATTTCCAGTAAAGTATGAGAGAATCAAGTTCCTGGTGATTGCGCTTAAGAACTCAGTGGAAATCTACGCCTGGGCACCAAAACCTTACCACAAGTTCATGGCCTTTAAGGTAGAGCACCAACATGTTCTAATTAATAAATACAAGGGTGGCGGCAACACACCAAGCGCACCAGCTTGAAGAGATAGGTCAGGAGTTTTTACAGCGAAGTTTTGTTAGTAAGCTAAAGTTGTAAAGAGAGTAAATATTTTCCCTGCTGTCAGCCAAATCTCATCGAGCATAGATCCAGATTAACTGATGGCATATGCAAACATCTCTGACCGTAGCAACTGACCAGACGCTAAGGGAGTGTAAAAATCAATTTGTCATTCACCTGTACCACTGTGATACGTTTACTTTTTACGTCGGTTTATTTTTATATCAGATAGCTGATTTTACTGGAAATTCTTTCTATTCTTAGTACGCGTTTCACACAGGAAAGTTGCTGGTGGTCCAACGCCTAACACCTACGCAGGTTACGTTTTGGCGACTCAAAGTCTCTTTAAAGAGCTTTCTTCATGTTCAGGGTTCTTGGCTCAGACGAATTTCTCCAGCTGAAATGACGTTGACATAGCAACCAAGTTACAGTACTTTGACGAAAATTGCGCCGTGTCTTTAATGCCGCAAAACGATGCGTCATGGAGCCTGACTGTACTCTTGCTCCATCGATCAAGGTTTTCATGCTCTTTTCCTCAACTGTTCTCTTCCTCCCTTTCAGTCGTTCACCGAGCTGCAGCACCGTCCTCAGCTGGTTGACCTCACAGTGGAGGAAGGCCAGAGGTTAAAGGTTATCTACGGCTCTTGTGTGGGCTTCCATGTCATCGATGTGGACTCAGGCAATCCCTACGACATCTACATCCCCTCGCATGTAAGCTTAAAATGCCGTCTCTGTGCGCTTATCTTTTTCGTCCGAGTAAATCATGTTCTCCGACGGGGAGCTTTCGATTTCTCGGTACGAAGAAATCTTGAAACGACCTTTTTGATTAATTTACTGAGGGACTGATGTCAGCTCTGCATCCGTTTGATTTTTAGTTTGGCTAAATCTGGTGCTTGGACCGACCATGTAAAGAAGACAGAATGCACGCATTATTGAACCGATCGTACTGCAGTCCACAGAGATAGAATTGATCCCTTTGGGAGGGGCGGGGTTTATATCAACTACAACACTGCATCAGTTGTCTGAAGCAGTTTTTGCAGCAAAGCTGTTTTATTGTTTTTCACTATACAGGCAACAAACATTAAGTTCAAAAGGAGTTCAGTCATACGCTCCATTTAGCGATGTGACGGAAACGAACCAGATCAGACCGAATGCAGATGAGCGCAACCGCGTCAACCGCACTTAACTTGGTAATGTTTTAGTAGAACAGAAATGTTAGGGCTTCCATTTTTTTTTTTTTATTTACTTTATGCAAAAAGCCTTGAAATTTTCACTTTTTGTGATTTCAAAAATGGAATAAACATTTAAGAAATGTATTCTATAATGGAGTATTCTACAGACTCCATTATAGAATAATCCAGTTTGGTCTGTCTACATGTTTTATTAAGCCTATGAAATGATGCACTTTGAAGACTCTGAAAAGGTTACAAAATTGCTAACATGTTGTTTGCCAGCCTCTGCATCCTTATAAATACTTGCAAATAGTTTAAATTTGGTGCTTTACTCGGTTTCCGTGTCTTTGTTTCACCAAATACCCAAAATGCTTCCGGGCAGAAGATTCAAAGCTGCAGCTCACAGGCGAGGCATTAAAAGTTGTAAACTAAAGCAGAATAAATATGGAAGAGGGCAAATAAGATTTCAAGTGTGGCTTAGAAACACCTTGGGAATGAGTTGAGAGAGATGCTTGGCTCTCTTGTTTGGATGTCCACAACCTGATCTCGGGTAAGTGGGAGGGGGAATTTGATGGATGTCAAAGGGAGATACTTTAACTGCATTTATTTCAGAAGTGATCTGACTTAATCTTTCAAAGACCCAGAACAGCTAGCGTACGCTTACCCGAACCTTTCAAGTCAACATGAATGTGAATGTTTGCGGTTTTCTCTTTGTTTCCTTTTTTGTTTTTCATTTCTTAATGTCCATTTTCTCTCCTTCCTCTCCAGTGTTCCAAACACATGAAGGTGACACGCTGCTCTTTAGTGTAGACCAGTAGATGTGTTTAGTAAAAGTTCCCCCGTTGAACGTAGAGCGACATCACGTGTGTCCTTAGTGTAGCTATTAACGCAAAAGTTGGTCAGAAATTAACCCGTTGGAATAGATTTGTCTCACCCATGAAGCACGACACAAGGCTCTCGGAAATGTTCTTGCTGTCAAGCGAAAATGTTTAAAGCAAGTTTAATCACATGATCCTCATGTTTCAGAATTAGTCAAGTGAAATTGTTTCCAGTTGCTCAGATCATGCTTCCTCTAAGAAAAACCTTCATCTTTTTTTTTTTTTTATCGACTAATGTTATGACACATGTGGGCAAGTTTCTCTTCCCTACTTTTGGCAGAAAAAGCAGAAGTGTGGCAGCGAGTTCAACTAATTGAGCTCTTATGTAAAAGTGGTGCTTTATGGGTTGAGATATGTTTTTGCGGTTTTTGTAACAATGCAAATCTTGAGTGATCATTTTCTGCAGGCTAAAGTAACATGTCTTGCCAACATTCTGTATAATTTTCTATATTTTTTTGAGATATAGAAAGGGTTGGAGTTAAGGAATGAAAGAGGGACCAAGACTTCTACTTTCTTAACTGCAGTCTAAAAAAAAAAGGTGGCATAGAAGTTTCTTACATTTTCTAAATCTTTAAACCTTCATCTCATTTGCATTTAACTTTATTTACAGAAAAGTCAGGTTGCACAATATTACTTCAGAAAGAACTGTTTACAGAAGGAAAGATATTTAAGAAAATGTGGAGAAAAAGAAAAACACAGAACCCTGTGGTACTCCGTATTTAATAGATGCACCAACGGTGCTTCATTTTGAACTCGGCTGCATGAGTTCATTACAATTTTTATGGAATATGGAATATATTTGGTACAGAAATTCGACAGCATGAATTGGTATGATGATACTTAGTTATATGTAATCCATCAAGTCCAATTCAGTCAGTCAAGTGTAGAACTAGAATAACTTCAAAACATCAAGCGTAGATTACTTTTTATTTCCCGTTTATAAAGTCAGACGTGACAGATTAGATAGTAATTGCCAAGAATCTCTAAATTATCTGAGGAAACATCATTGAAGTGTAACTTTTAGTTGTTCAGACTCTTGTTTTGCGCTTGGCTCCTCTTTTCCAGATTACAGAATGTAGGCAGAGAAAACTAAAGATGCATTAACGCCTGTTATACTCTAACATCAAATCAATTGTGATCAACTTCACCACACTCCCTGAAGTCCTACGTGCTTTTGGTTGCGTTCATCTTAGATCCAGAGTCAGGTGACGCCCCATGCCATCGTTGTGCTCCCTAAGACTGATGGGATGGAGATGCTGTTGTGCTACGAGGACGAGGGGGTCTACGTCAACACGTATGGACGCATCACCAAGGACGTGGTGCTACAGTGGGGGGAGATGCCTACCTCTGTTGGTAGGTAGTTCTTAAATTTACACATGTATGTGTGTTAAATGAAATCTAGACAAAGGATGGACCGCTTCGAGTGGAAGACTTCAAGAATCTTGATTGCTCGTACGTTACTTTAGAGCTGAGATGGTGGATTTTTTTTGTTGTGCTCTGCTGCCCTCAAGTGGCAGCCAGGGACATTACACATGTTGGCTAAAGCCACAGATTTTCACATTGAAGCTTTACAGGACTGAGTCCACTGCTTTGTTTGACTTTGCTTTTCTTGCTTGACAACATTTTAAATATATGCATCTTTTCATAAAAGCTTGTTTATGAATTTGCTTTGGAATCGACCTTTGATTTCGAGGATTGCTCAAAAGTCGCCTCTAACTGTTGCACATAATGTTCATTGCAAACTGAAATAATTGTACTGTGTTTTATTGTTTAACTTAACTAAAAACACTTTGCATCTTTTTCCAGCCTATATCCATTCGAATCAGATTATGGGCTGGGGCGAGAAAGCCATAGAGATCCGCTCCGTTGAGACGGGTCATCTGGACGGCGTGTTCATGCACAAGAGAGCCCAGAGACTTAAATTCCTGTGTGAGCGGAATGATAAGGTAATTCCTACATAACATAAGCTCCTCTCAGCCATCTAATTTTTTTTTGTTCTCACGCTACATTTTACACATAAGACAACTGATTGCAATGTGACTTCAGTGAATACACAGCAATTTCCAGATAGAGGATGGATCTATGACAGAAAGAAACAAATATGTTTCCTGTGGTGAAACATGGTGGTGGCTGCTTCATGTTGTCAGGACAGAGAATGATTTTAATGATTTGTATCTGTGAACATTTCATAACTATGCAAAAAAAAAAAAAGTGGGTTACATTAATGCCTTTAAATGCTTTTAAAACCCAATCTAAACTTCTTGTTTAAGTTTTTTTTTTTTTTTTGCTCCACCTGTTTTCCAGGTATTCTTTGCGTCGGTGCGTTCGGGAGGGAGTAGCCAGGTGTTCTTCATGACCCTCAACAGGAACTCGATGATGAACTGGTGACCTTCCTCCGTGTCCACGCTGCCTCGCCCTCCCACTGGCCAGTACGGCAACCCCGTTGTTTCTCCTGCGGGCTAATGCACGACAAATGAAACGAACCCAGCCGACTCGGATCGTCGCGAATGGACTTTTTTTTTTTTTTTTTTTTTTTTTTTTTTTTTTTTTTTGCTCAAACAAAAAAACCTGAAAAAAAAAAAAAAAAAAAAAATTCAAAAAAAACAAA